GGATTAGACAAGGAGAAGTTATCGAGCGTTTGAATAGACAGAGCTAGCTCACAAGTAGAAGTGGTCAGTTCTGCACCAAATGTCCCACATAATGCGTCCAGCTTACCCTGAAAATGGCGTAAAAAAGAACAGCATAAATTATCAGATTCTCGTTGAAAGGCATTATGCATTGGAGCTTGAACAAGCCTATTGACCGTGCTAAAAAGTGATTTAGGCCTATTGTTTGCTTTGTTAATAATTTTGGAAATATAGGAAGAGTGAGCTGCGTTCAAGGCAGTTTTATAGTGCTTAACATGATCTGAAAATGCCTGAAAGTGTACAGTTAAACCTGTTTTCCTAAAAAGGCGTTCAAGTTGCCTGCCTCTTGCTTTCATAGCATGTAGCTCATTGTTAAACCATGGAGAGGAGCGGGACATGGGAACTGACCTAGTCCTAATTGGAGCATGCTTGTCCAAAACATCAGCAATATACAAATCATACAAATCAGATATCTTGAATGGACAGGTAAAATTGAAAACATCAGAAATAACAGATGAAGCAGTAAATGCAGTAAATGTATCAACATTGATAGCATTGAACTTACGATAAGAAATGGTTATGTTGTCAGTACATTTGGTTGGATAAGTTAGTGTAAAGTCAAAAGTAATAAGCTTATGATCAGAAATAGGAGTAGCCAGACCACTCAGCCAGATTAAGATGTATGAAATCATCAGGTGTTTGCCAGGTCTCAGTAAGAAATAACATGTCCAAGTCGGTATCCGCAATTAGTTCGTTGAGATGGGGGCCCTTGTCCGAGATGGAGCGACAGTTCAGCAGAGCAAAGTGGTTATGCAGTACTCCGGTGAAGTTGACGTTTGGCTCAGACTTTTTTACATAGACAAGCGATCGCGATAGATGACAGTCACTTGGTAGACGTTTTGATTTAACCAAAGCTCTGTTACTAGACCAGATGCTCGGAATAGCAGTAGGTTTTGGCTGCTGAAGGTTAAAAATCCTTCTGACTGAGCGATGTATGTAACGCGGACGTCGGATGATCCCGAGCGAACGGCAGTGCTCGTATGTCGCAGAGTCGAGGCATGAGTGCACATCCAGCGCCCTGAGTTCGCTAGACAGGTATCCAAATTCCATTTTGGAAAGTAATCCAAAAGTAATAAAGAGAACCAGAGACGACGCAAGTGCCAAAACCTTTGACATGTTGGTGATAGCCGTGAGAAACCCGGCTATCAGCAATGCCACGTTAGCCAGGACCACAACCAATCACAACATCTATAAAAGCTTACGGAGAGGAAAGCTACCCGACCAGACAGTAACCCAGTAGAGAGACTGGTAAGAAGAGTGTTAGCTCACCTCACAGTCAGTCCGGCAGATGATGGATCGAGGGGTGAGAGGGCTTCGCGGCAGGCCGACAACCAGGAGTTTCCAGCGTCAACAACAAAAGTACACTTATCCGAAGCAGTAGAGTGACTCCAGTTTGCCAAAAACCCGCCAGCCAAGCAGGAAGAGTAAATCCAGTTTTGCGGAACAAAAATGAGTGTAGTAAAGTAGCAAACACAAACAAACACACAACCCAGTGCGGAGCGGCAGTCAGACGCGCACAGCGTTCCCACACCGGAAGTTCTCTCATGCACTTTTACAGGAAACCTTTGAACTGTTCTCAGTCCCAGCACTCAGTACACAAAGTAAAATGCCAATAAATTTATTTACAAAACACAAAATGACATATACAGTGCAAAAAGATAAGAGAAGCATCTCTTCAGGAGTGGGTAAAGCCAAAGTAACAAACAAAAGATTACTACCTGTAAGAAGAAAATCTAGCTAACCTCTGAGGATAAAAATGAATACAAATAAAGAACAGAATTCTTATCTGACTTCCTAACTAGCAAAAACAGGAGAAAATGAGGACAAACGAAAATGGCACCCAACTCCCTATTGCTCCAGCACTCAAAAAAATAAAAATAAAAAAAAAGGGCAAACGACTCAAGCTGTGCACTACAGCCAAATCACACTTAAGTTTTGTTTTGAATTTACAGTAGGCTTAATACATACAACTGCACACTACAGTCATAACACCCATATTAAGCCTAAAACACACCAACAAGCACGAACACTCTGGGACTGGCAATGCCTCAACACACTCATGCTCTTGGGAGAAGGAACATCTCACTGGCTCACGCTCTTGATCTTCTTATATACTGGTTCCTTTTGACATTGACGAGGAGCAGCTGGTAGGTCCAATCACCTAGATTAGGACAGGGAGGAGCACCGAATATAGGACAAAAAATACAACAAAAACTACAACTCCCAGAAGGCCGTTCGGTCCACTGGCAGCATATCATGAAAGACGCACACCATGATAATAAAACACAAATTCATACGTCCTGGGACATAACAGTGGTTACAGACAAATCATACAGAAACATCAAACTGCTTCTGAATTTCTCTGCACGGGTGACTTGTGAGCTCCACTGACACAGTCTTCACTCCTACTGGTTGTCACCAGGTGCGTCACTAGCGGAGACAAAAAGCTGGAAGTTGCTGGACATCACTGATGTGGATTTAGTGCATGTACAGTAAAAAAGTGCAATGCAGAATTTCATGACTCATTTTAAAAGTTGTATTATATTATGTTTTATAATATCAATCTTCAATCCATCAATGCTTCATTAATAATTTTACATCTTATTTTTGAAATGTGGAACTGCTCAGTCAATTTTGGAATACCCGACAGTCCAACAGATTTTAAGACAAATTCGTTTTTTTTTTTTTTTTCCAGTTTTCCTTCTCATTGTTTATTTAATGATTGTTAATTCTAGTCTTAGTCATCCTTCTGTTCCACAGGTCTTCACAATTCTCTCTAGACTCTCATAGCTCTATCACAGAGATGCAGTGCTCAGTGATGGACTGCATATAAACATAAAAGGTGAATCACAAAAGATGAGATAAAGGTAAATTAAAAAAAAAATCTGAGTGTCTCCTCTTTTGTGTCTGTTTTGGTGAATCAAAAAAGACAACACATCCTCAAGAAGAGATCCGTAAGATTGAAATTGAAAGGTGCCATGTACCACCAGAGTTATTTAAAAATATTAATTTCAGCTCCATGTTCAGATAGCACTGCATTTAACTGTGCTGTTGTTTTACACATATTGGACTGCCTGTCTAGGCAGTATTGCAAGCAACTTGTTCATCATTGCCTGTGTGGCAGTGAGCGTTCCCTTTCATGGGCACTTCGAACTGCGTCCTCTAGGGGTCGCTATGGGGAACGGTATACCCACGCCACCATGCTGAGTGGAGTGCATGCCAGAAACCATGGCGAGCACTAAGTACCAACTACCATATTGCCATGGGAGTTGACCCTGGGACGTTAGACGGCCACACCCTGTTAAAGTAGGTATCCAGAGGATACATAGGTGGAGTGGTGCCCAAGGCGGAATCGGGGTTTTAAACCACTCAGGAAGAGCACGAGGCTGCTGCGCGTAGCTCTTACCATACAGGATTTTAGAAAAGAACGCAGAGTACTAGCATACCACAGTGTGGATTTTAACCCATAGATGGAAAGAATTGGTGCATCCCAAAATGCTATGTTTGAGAAGTCATCAACTCAATCTAGGGCTTATAATGCTGGAGTGGCTAGCAGTACATCTGTAGCTGAGGGGGCAAACATCTAGCTCTCAATCGAGAGGGAGCTCGACCTACAGCATGTTCCAATGGAGGAACAACTAGCAGTTATTTAGCTGAGGGAGCAACACCCCCAGTTCTCAAACGAGAGGAGGCTCGACCTGCAGCATGTTCCAAAGCTGGAACAGCTAGCAATAAGTTACTTAGCTGTGGGAGCACCACACCTAGTTCTCAGTCGAGAAGGGGGCTCGACCTACAGCATGTTCCAATGCTGGAACGGCTAGCAGTAGTTTACCTTGGCTGAGGGAGCACAAGCCCAGCTCTCAACGAGAGGGGGCTCGACCTACAGCGTGATTGTAAAACCAGAAGGGTAAGTGTACTGCAAGCTAGCCAAAAAACTCAGCGCATCAGAGAGGCAGAGGAAGGGCCTAGTTCGCCTGATGCTGCTGATACCAGGTGCTCTGGGAAAAACAGAGAACTCAACTCACGTGAGAGGAGAATTCCGAATTCAGAAGGAGTAGTGTGCTCATAGGTAACCCTTTGATAAAAGGGGAGCACTGCTCAGCACTACCACGAGAACAGCCCATGGAGCGAGGAATCCAACTCCTCAGAGAGAATTAAATGCTCGAAAGAAAACACCATGCTCACAATAACCCTCAATGGTGAGGGGAGCGATGCTTCCAGAGTGTGTCGACAGAGACACACTAGTTGAGTGGAGCCCAAGGTACCGGGGTCTAAACCAACTCAGAGAAAGGGAACGAGGCTCATAACGCGTAACCCTTACCAGACAGGATTTCAGAAAAGTAGGTAAAGCATAATGTGCACACTTACCACTTATGTGGATTTTAGAGAAAGTGGGCAAAGCATAACGTTGCACTTACCATAGTATGGATT